GAATGGCCAGTTGTAAAGACTCTTAAAACAACATCAAAGTTCTGCGGTTGAGGACCAATATATTGCTATTTCCTAAATGGCTACAAGATGGTAGAAAGCACATCAACTGATGATATGCTGTAGGCCCATGTGGAAGGCTTTGAGTAACCCTGGAGATATTTAATATGTACCTAAGTAAATCCTACCATCTACTGAAATCACTGCTTTTGAGAACAGTGGTTCAACTGATAGAGAATGCCTGGGCCTCAAAGATTCTCAGAGACCATGTGGAAAATTCTGCCATGGTGGGAGGGGGTAAATTGATTACAACTCCATCTACTCAGTAGGCTTTATAAATGTAAGTGTGATCCAGTTTGAAACAAGTCTAAACATGGATATTGGATTTCTTCAAATTTATTTAATATCAGGGATTTTAGACAGCAATATACCAATTTCGGCCTCTTCACTTCAATAGTTGTTTCCTTTAACTCCTGAGAATTAATTCTGAAAAAAGGCAGAGAAGGATCTGGAAAGTGACTTCCATTTCCATTAGAGATCTGCTAGCTGATGGAATGGTTGCCTCAGAATGAATAGCATTTATGGTGCTAGTGGAGAAAATGTGTAACAAAGATCTTTTTCTGTATGTGTAACTTTAATTTGAAACTTATCTGAGCTCCTAGTACCATACCTTTCAGGGAAATGTCAGCTATCTTTCCTGCAAGTTGGGATGGAGCAGGCCCACTCTGGCCTGCAGGCCCTGTTCCACACTGCCTTCCAAAGTACTCACAGCACTTAGGCTGCAGTCACACACACTAAATAATCCACTTTCGGTGCATTGTCCAACTGGATTTTACTGTGTGAACTGGCAAAATCCAGTTGGAAAGTGCATTATTTAGTGTGTGTGACTGTAGCCATGGAGAGGCTTTTCTTTCCCTCTCAGGTAACCACTGCCATCCCCTGACCTTTGTAAGGAATTGCCCACTTGGACTCCTAGCTTCCCTCCTGAGGTCTTGCCTCTGTCTCCTGCTGCCCAGTGTCTGGTTACCACAGGGACCGTGTACTGCCTTGTGCACTCCTAGAGGAATAGCCACTTGTCAACTGACTCCCTTTCCCCTGCTGCTTTTAAAATAGCATGTCCAAGATGGTGGAGGTCTATGTGGTACAGAGAACCACTACCAGCATCAAAATTTATAAAGTAGTTATTAAAGAGAAAATGTTCACGAGCATACTTTTCACACAGCACCAGACTGAGCAAGGGATTAAAAAGAAATGGGTAAAATGCAATTCCTCTGTCCCTTGCTCTGCATATGGCCTATCAGATGTTAAAATATAGGACAGGCTCCTTAGGTTACGATGTTATAGATCTCTATGGAGTTTCATTTACCTTGTAGCTTCCTCCAGCTCTTCAGGCCAGCACATGGTTAATGGCTGCCTCCTCCAGACCTCAGTTAAGTGATGGACTCAACACAAAAGAGAGCTTCCTCCATGCTCACCTGAGTTTTATCACCTCACTGTTCCCTACCCACTGACCAGGTCAGGCCTGGCTAGAAAAGCTTTTCCTGAAGTCTCAAAAATTTCCTAGTCTATCTAGTATTTAACACCTCCAAATCTGTGTTCCCTGCTTGTGGGGGGGGGGAGCATAACCATCCCCATTGTCTAGGCCTATTAGCATTTGTATGAATGTGGGCTGAGGTAAGTCTGGAAAGCAATTGAACTGACTTCCCTCCTCCCTGCCTGTTCTCTGCCCAGAGAGAGGAAAATACCTTTTATAACTCAGAGTGAAGGTTTTGCTCATCTCAAACCTCCAAAGAAAAAATGCATTTATTTCACAGACTTCATTGGTGATCCACAGACTGGAGTATAGATTTCCAATGGCACAGGCAAGCTGAAATGTAATGACCCCAATATTATTGAAATAGGATTCTGGATCAAAATAGTACCACCTCATCTCTGAAATGGGACAAAATCAGTGTATCTTTCATTTAGGAGAGGTCAGGGCAACTCCTCTTGTGCCTTCTCTATAATGTGTTTTTCATTTAATTGACACACTTTGTTGTATGGAAGAATGTGGTACAACCTGTCATCCAAACACTGTTGGATGCTACACTGCCTCTTGAGTGACTTCTATAGACTTATATTTCCAGAGTACTTCAGGCCTAAAGTTCATATAATACTCCAGTGGTATGAATTTAGAGAGGAGTGGAATAATTAATTGCAATCTTTCTTCTTGATAAAATTCACAATGCAGGAGAATGTGTGTAACCCTTAGGATTTAGATGTATCCTTAACCAGAAATAAATCGCATATTCCCATATTTTTAGCTCTCCTCTGGGGAGGCCTGTTTCTTGCCTTAGAATAACGTTGGAAGTGCACCCAGGTGCATGTAACAGCAATTTTACAGCATTATAAGGCCATTAAGAAAATGCAGGCAAACGCATTGCTTTTGCAAGTAGGGAGACAAGATACAAGGAGACACTTACGGTCAGGAATGACCATATTAGGCGTTGCTAGGGCCCGTTACTAAGGAAGATGTTAACCTTGCTTTATTTCTGTAACCAGACGTTTACCACCTGCTGATAACAGGAAGGCCTCAGCCTTCCCACAAGCTAGATGTGTGATCAGCCAAGAATACTGTGGTTTTGAAAAAGTACAGAATGCTCAAAACTTTGCCAAGATCTTCTAATAATTTTTATGCTAAGAAAATGACGAAAATAATTTTTTTTGCACTCTGTAAAACTATATAAAGCCTGACTCCACCTCCATTCGGTGTACAGCCCTGTTTGAATGTGCCTCTTGGTGCTTTGGCTGTACCTTGGCACCAAAATAGACAATCTCTGGTGGTCTATCTCTCAGAATTCCCGCTACACAAAGCCCTAAGAAATTTTGATTGTACAGTTTCTAAGATCTTAACATTAGCGGTTAAACAAATTTGGGACCCATATAAAAGTTAAGGATTTTGCTTGGAATAATTTCAGAGCTGCAGGTATGAAGCCTTTCCTAAAATTATTCTGCAGCATTTGGTACCATTGTATGTAAAAACAACTCCTAGATACTGAAAGGTTTTGACCTGGTCAATGCTGTTACCTTTGATTTTCCCATTAGCCTTCCTGTACCGTCTATTGAAATGTAAAATTGTAGTTTTTAATTGATTAATAACTGTTCAGTATTGCATTGATCACAAAAAATTTAAGGCACATTTTAGGCCAACTATAGTTTGTGACAAAAGAACAGCATCATCTGCATATATCAAGATTGACACCTTTTCCCCTCCTGATAAACTGGGGGCATGGGTATCCACTGTATGCAAACACTGAATCAAAGTATTCACATATATATTAAAAAAGGTGCAAGCAGACAACCTTGTCTGACTCCCTTTAGTACCGGGATTTTATTGGATAATTTACCATACTGGGTATATCGTATTTGAAGTTTATTATCATATAATTTACAACATGTTGTCTATTGATGTGTCGTCCAGCTTTGCCCATAGTATTCCCCTTGAAACATATTGAGCGCTGCTCTGAGATCCACGAATGCTGCATATAGATTTCCCTTTGTTCAATTTGTATACTTATGGGCAAGATAATCTAAGATGAAACAATGATCTAAAGTTGAGCAGTCTTAAGTAAATCCTGTTCAATTTCTAATAGGTTTTCTTGCTCCAACCATTTACCATAGCTTCAGGCATAAATACTTGGTGTAGAATTTACAAATGGTATTTAAAAGGCTTATTGGCCTTTAGTTATTTGGGTCAGTCTTGATTCCTTTCTTATATATAGGCACTATAATGGCCAGGCCCCAGTTTTTTGGTGTTTGTGCTGTTGAGACTATATATATATGAACAGACTGGCCAATATTGGAACCCACCAATCTACATGTGATTTAAGTAGCTCGGCTACTATAAAATCGCTTCCTGGGGCTTTCCCATTTTTCAGCTGTGATATTAGCAACGTGACCTCACTTACTGTAATTGGCAACCATGATGGAACATCTCTTAAGGAGTTAATAATGGGTGATTTATATTGTTGGTCCTCATACAAAGTGGCAAAATGGTTTTCTCAGATCTCCACTTGTATAGAACTTGCCAGAGTATCAACTTTGCTTCCCTGTAAGCTGGAAGTAATCTTCCAAAAACTTAAATTATCTTTTTCCATAGTAGTGATTGCCATAAAAGGTGTGTGGCTGCCATCTTTTTGTTTTTCAGCAGGGTTTTGTACGCTTTTTTCTTGACTTGAGTTTCAACTTTAATATTTGGAGTGGGGTTAGACTGAAATGCTTTAAAGCATTCTGTAAGCTCTATCTTAGCCTGGGCACACTTGTGATCAAACCACTTTTTATGAAATGATTTTCCTTCATCTTTAAGGCTGTTAGGTCTTGATAGAAGAGATGTAGCATTTAAGATGAGTCTATTATATATATATTTACTAGGTGCTCCTCATCAACTATAGATGTTAATGCCTGGAATATAAATCTTCCTTCTATCTGTGACCAGGTAAAGAATTTCTCATTTATCTGTGGTGCCCATTTATTTCTCCTTCTTCTTGTCTGCTCTGCCATATCAGCTTCCATATTGACTATCTTTAAGGGATCGTAAAGGCCCTAGCCAGCTGGAATTAAGAGGTAAATGATCACTTTCCACTCTCACATTAGCTTTAAAGTTAATATCATAGTCATACAGCTCATGGGAAATTAATATATAGTCAATTGTTGAGTGTTTCAGGCCTGACCAATAAGTGAACTGGCCTGGGCAATCTCCTAATAGACTTATAAGAGTGTAACTCTGTTTACGATTGTACTATTAATCCCAAGACAAATAAGGCAAGGGCTTTTAAAAAGAATATTTTCAATCTTTATCAAATGCCTGAACAGAAAAACAATCTGAGTAGTATTCTTGTTATTCAACAGCCCATAAATCCCTTCCGGATATTCAAGTATTTACATCAGTTTGAAATTCTTCTAAGGCAAAATCAGTAAATTACACAAACTTTAAAGAGCATTAGTTTATTATCTATTCTCCGTGTGTTACTTCAGAAACAATTTAATTATATACAAAAATTTGGAATGCTGAGTAAACGCTGATCGGATTGATAAAAACATTACATAGCTGCTGACAAGGGAATAATTACTTTTTTAAAAAGTAGTACAGCAAATTAATCATGAATGCTTGGTTCTCTGTGTTGCTTATTGCTATGATTGTGTTCATATAATGCGTTCAAGTATATACACATTTGAAACTCCAGTCCAAAAAAGTAAAAAATATATATATTTACACAATAAATATTTGGGATTTTTCTTCCAGAATTTTTTTAAATTTGAACTGATTCTTTAATGAACTGTCCCAAAAGGAGCATTGAACTAACAAGCAACTATATTCAATCAATGCCAAAACAGAATTTGCAGATATTGGACAAGATGAAATATATTGGACAAGATGAGAAACCTTACAAATCCATGGCTTCAGGATATTTCTTTCTCCATTTCAAATGAGATGCTTCTTCCATAACTTCTTTCAGCAAAAAAAGTCTCTCTCAATATAAAAATGAAATAGTGTATCAAAATGTGTGATTTTTTCCATGATAAAATATTAATCAATATTTCATAGATGATTTTAGTTCATTGCAAACAGCTACAAAGCACCACATTTTTGCTGTGTTAAATTTACAATTTATTATTTCTGGCAACAGTTTCCTTGTTATACAAAACTATTCCAATTAAATTAAAGCACAACAGCATAGTTTATATAGTTTCAGCACTCCACTTATTTCAACCTGATTAAATTAAGTCTACAATCAGTAAAGAATCAGTTCAGGTTTATGGTATTTGCTCTTCCCAAAATTACAGTTTGTGTCTCAGGTCAAATTAGGACTGATCTGTATGCATTCCCTTTAAAAGGCTGAATTTACTAGTATTATTAAAAGCAACGAATGTGAAATTTTAAACCGTCAAAAAGAAATTAAAGACACTTTTAGAAGCAAGGTAACACTGAAGCCCGCCATTATATAGTTATGTTTCTCATCTTCTTTAAAGATTAACAGCACACAGAAAATAAGTGAATTTATTCAAAATACAGCACATTTCTACGAATATAAAAAAAATCAATTCCTATGTAAATATTAATGAAAATCAACTAAAATTAATGTACAAAGAGTTGTTAAAGGGTTTCAATTAAAATTATTAAAACTATACACAGTACAATATGCAGCTGATAACATCTTTGAAGTGCAATAATCATTGGAGCTTGCGTATTTAAAAAGTACTGCCTCTGTTTGGTGTGTAGATTCCTTTCTCCTCTCCCATGTCCTTAAAAAAAAAACTACAGTAGGCTGGTGCTTTTGATAGATTTCTCTTTAAAACTACCAATTTCCATTTGTTAAAAATTGCAGTAACTGAATATTGCCCCAATGATAAATCATTAGCCGCCTTTAAAAAAAACTAAAATGAGAAAACAGTTATTGGTCTTCTATGGCACTTTTCTCTGGTCCATAATAACCATGTATTATTTATTACCCTTTAAAGTTAGGCAATCTCATCTCAGTTACATAAGGAGGGGAAAAAATGAAGTTTGTCATAAACAAAATTAATTATGTATAATCCAATACTTTATACAAGTAAGAAGGAACGAAGGCAGCCTGTGGTAAATTACTATTAATATAGTTAGAAACCCTTTAATGACTCTGAAGTGTCTAGTTCACATTTAATGTCACCTGTAGGAGCAGCCCTTTGAGAAAGATCATTACAAACTGGTGGGTCCCGAGTACCCATCCCGTTGCCCTACAACTTCCCAACAGCAAGCCTCCCATCGCTGTGCAACAGTCTCACAGAAACTGGCTTTGGTTACCTAGCTCCATACATATTGTTTCCTTTTAGTCTAAACAAGGCAATTCAAGGCCAAACAAGTTCAAAATTTCTTCCTTAAACCTTCCTGCACCATTTGACTCCTGGGCAGCCTGTTCTTCATAGAGCTCATTGCCACAAACCTCATTAAAAAGAATGAGGCTCTTGCTGGCAGAGTGATTCAAGGTTTGGAACATGCACACCTGTGATATATGTGATGAGTTTCAGGCAACACAGTCTTAAAAACTGGCCATTTCAGTTTCTTTCTTCTTTTTTTTAATAAAAAACTATAAATAAATTGAAAATGGAGTATTTTATACAAGGCAGAAGAAAACCACCATTTTGCACAAAGCTGGGGATTTTCATTTTAAAAAGGAGTCTCTGGGTACAACTCCACAATACAGATGAAAAAAACAATTGCATGATTAAAAAATAACATCCAAAATTGAATTACACATAGTAAATAAGACAGTCAGTGAATGTGATATGAGCCAATCCTGTAGAACTCCCAGAAGTATATTTATAGTCTTCCTGAAAAGACTTCACATTTTATTGCATTTTTCTATTGGTAGATATACATTCTCATGTTAACTTATCTTCCCTTCCTTTCTCAATTCCATACTTTCATTGCCATTTTACCTGGCCTTTTAAATTAATCCAGCCAGTTCTACGTTCCATCTACCCATTCATCTATACAATATGCACATAGCAATGCCAACATTTCAAATCTCTTAGCTGCATCTACAGAAGTGGTTTCGAAAATATTAAAAACCAGGTGAACAAAAAAAGAAAGGCAAAACTCAGCTACAGGACAGAAAGCCCTGCCGTCTGTCCACTGGCTACAACTGAGGCTCCTCATAACTTTACGCAAAGTTTAGTAATGTGTATGAATTATCCAAAAATAAATCCACCATCTGTACAAAAAAACACCACAGGTTTGTTCTTGGAGGAGTGATCTTTGATTGCTCCAATGCTTTAAAACTCAAGGGTTTGTTACCACACGCATTTCCAAAACTTTGTTTATGTTCTTTACAGTGGTTCTTCCCCCTATAACCACAAGTTCATTATTGTATTACTGTACATAATTTTAAAAGTTCTTTTCACATATAAAAATAATCAAAATATTCCATTTTCAACAAGTCCTTCAAAGAAGCATGCTGGCATTTCCCTTTTCTCCACAGTATTTAAGAACCCTCTCTCACAATGATGAGTTCCACCGTGTTCTGAAAAGTCTTTAGCAAAGATACCGCTTGTCCATGATCAATACTGATGAAGCTATAGCCATTAGCCTGGAAAGGAAATTAAATCCTGATAAATATAACACAACTTTTCAGAAATATCTGACTTCAGACTTCAGTTTGAATTTCATGACCTGTTCCTGGTTCTGTTCCAGCTGTATCTTAGGACAACAGGCAGAATGAAAGAATGGAAGCATTTTCATTATATGTAACACACGCACACGTGCACACTCTGGATACTCCAAAAAGTCAATTCACACAGCTGTTTTTAACATTACATGTACTGTGAAAAATGCCACCATAGTAAGGTGGCATATCCTGGAAGCATTTGGGTTTGTTTTTTATTTTTCTATTTATAGTCCATCTTTCTCACAGGGACTCAACATGGATTACACACACACAGTGAGCCAGTACAGTCACCAAAATGGAACATTCAGTAACCAATACATTAGGATTTTAGAAGTCTGGAACTACCAGAAAGAACTGAAACATAGCATAAATATTCACATGACACATTACATAGTACAGAAATTAAATAAGTAGCATCCTACTTACAATAAGCTAGCCACAACAGTATAGATGTTTAAAGAGTTCCAGGATGCACTGGCAAATAAACCACATGGGAGCCTTTTAATGTTCACATCAATCTTGAAGGGGAAGAGTCACCTAGTGGCAAATGTTTCACTCTCCAAAATACTTTTGTGAATAAGCCCCATTTAACCAGTATCTGAAGTTAAATATATAGTGCATACTTATTTATTTACTTACTTCATCCTCCTTGGTTTTTGATGATAACAAAATTACAACTTTTGTTAGCACTTGCCTAAATCAAGAGAGGGAAAGCTGACAAAGCAGAGGTTTTCTCATCCTGACGCTGAGCTCATTCTCCTAACATTATGATTGGGCTGTCACAGAAAGAAAACTTTCTGAGAACAGAATCATGAAGACTTGAAGCACTAAAGTTATTGAGGAGGGGAAATGATGAACTAAATGGAAACAGAGGAGACTTCAAATAATTTGGAAGCAAAGAGATGGTAGGGTTTAGGGCAGTTTCAGTGGGACATGGAAGGGGGTCAAAGCAGTAGGAGTAAGTTCGATGGAATGCTTTGGAGGTAAATAACAAAAGACTGATTAGATAGTGGTTAGAAGGACAAGTATAGGTCAAGGGGAAAATTTTTGAGAAGGGGGGAAGATGGTGGCGTGCTTTAATATGGTGTTGAAGGAACTGAACTGATAGAAGGGTGAAGGAGATAAATGTGGGCAGATGGCAAGCAGGAAGACACAGAAAGACAAAATTGTGTTATCTTGCTACGTGAGATGTAAGGAAAGAGGAGAGTATGGAACAACCTCCCCAGGGATGTGCACCTGGCCCCCTGTATAGAAATATTGATTCCTATAAACCCCTGCCTCCCCCCTTGGAATGTCTTCTGATACCTTGTTTCCTGTTGCAAGCCAGATGGCTGACCATTTGGTCAGAGAAGCTCCATTGCCTGCCATATAACCACGCATTCTTCACACCTCTAAGTGGAAGTCCTAGACTTCAAGGAGCCTGCTCTGTTACAGGGCTCATGTCACGTAGGCCATGGGTGGGTTGGACTTTGGGGATCATTCGACTGCAGAGGGTGTTCCCCAGACTATCCCCCACCCATTGCCATGACAACCCAAAAGTTGGACACCCCCTGTCTACCCGTGATTGGCTGACTGGCCACAGCTGATTATGATTAGATTGGGGTTTTTAATTGTCTGACCCTTGGAGGAGAGCTCAGATCTTCTTGCTCTCTTTATTTGTTTGAATTGCATCTGGGACTGCTGTCCCGAGGGGAACAAAGAACTCCTTGGTGCAGCTGAAGCACATGGCTGCATGCTTACAAAGATGGACTTCTTGCTCCAAACCTCTTGGGGCTACTGGATTATTACAAATGGACTATTCTGGACTGATAACTGTTCCTGACTTGGTAAATATGCATCTCTAATGTGTAGTTAAGGCAAAACATTGCCTAGCCTTTGTTATTTTGTAATCCTGATTAGTCTGTGCTAAGCCTGTACTGAATAAACTTTATTCTTGTTTATAAATAGTGTCTGGATTGTAGTAACTGGACTCCAAGCCTTTTTCCTGTGTCTAGCTGGTCACATGCTACCTGTGTAAGAGTAACTGCACACTCTGGATTGAGTGGCTAATGTGTAAAACCCACATGCCAACGGAGATTCTGGGGATCTCTAATCTCAGGTTGGTGAGGGATTAAGTTTAGAGATTCCTGGTGGCTATTGTTTTAGATTCAGAGAGCCTACCTCTTCTGGGTTATTGTGTAATAGATTGTGCCAGTGTAGAATTCTTTCCCCCATCCCTGGACTGGCCTGGGGGGCAGAACCTATACACCCCCTACATTGTCAATCTTCAGGAGGCAGTTGAAGACACATTTACTTAGGACTGCATTTTGACTGATTTAGAATTATTAGGAGTCGTAATTGGAGTTTTTAAACTCAGACTTTTATGGGTTTTATAATTGTTGCTTTATTGTGTTTTTATAACGTTTTACTTATATTGTAAACTGCGTTCTGTTCTGCAAGGGAGAAAGACGACTAACAAATGTTTTGAATAAAACAAACAAAACGGGTAGTGAGGGACATGGAGGAAGGGGGAGGAGGAGGAAGTAGGGTGGATAGCTTTGATTTTATCATTGGATGAGCATGATTTGGGGCACCTAAATAGTACGATGATTAGTAAAGTGGATGTGGATTAGAGCAGTATAGTGAATTGGATATTGCTTGACTTGTAAGACAGGATAGAAGAAGGAAAGAAAGGAAGTATTCAAAATGAACGAAATCAGCCAAATCTTTTGATATTTGCTGGAGGTACCCAGATGTAAGTTTAATTCTCATAAATAGCATATAAGGAAGTAAACTTGTACCTGGACTACACTAATCTATTGCCTGGATTACACAACTGGGGATGCGCATGGATGAAACACATTGTTGTGTACACTGTATACAGAAAACAGATGTATGAAGGAAATCAGTTCTAACCTAGCCTGGGAATAGAAAGGCGTTGGGGGAAAATTGAGTAGGTCAGTGGATGGGCCAAATAACTAGAGGAAAAGAAGCAGCTTAAGAAAGAAATTGGAGAATTGAAGGAATGGGCAGCAGAAAGAAACAAAGCTTCAGAGAAAGTTGTTCCATTAACAAGAAATTTAAAATATTTCAGTAAAGTACCTGAATAATTTTGTCTCCTGGTTGCAAGAGTTTAGATGCTGGTCCTTCCGGCTGCACTCTGGTTACAAATATACCCTTCAAGCAAAGAGAAAAAAAGTTTGGTTAAGCTTGTATTTTAAAAGCTTCATATTCTGTGTTAATATCAGGGGGATAATGATAATTAACGACAATGTTAGAAATCAGTTTTTCAAATGAATTTAAAAATGGTTTTAAAATTAAGGGTACAACCAGAGCTCAATTTAACCACGATTAGATACAGTAATGTATGTTGCACAGCCTGAATAATCAGTGGACTGTGTATAAAAAGTAAAAATATGGAATGCAAGCAGAAGGATGAATGTGAGAGGTCCCACATCCCAATCTTTAAAAGCCTTGTTAAATTGCACATTTGCTCTGACCATAAGATAAAATTTCATGCTACATTTATCAATTAAAGCATAGTTTTTGAGCCTAAATCCCCACCCACATACAGGAATGGAACTCACAACTGGAATATGCAGTTACTTTCAATGTTGGTAAGTGTAAGGTAATACACATCAGGACAAAAAAACCCCTGAACTTCAAGTATAGGCTAATGAGGTCTGAACTTCCTAAGGTAGAGGGGAAAATATCTTGGGGTCATAGTGAATAGTGTCAATCCAGTGTGCTGCAGCAGTGAAAAAAGCAAACTCTATGTTAGGGTTTATTAGGAAAGGGATTGAACATAAAACATCCAATACTGCAATGCCCTTGTATAGATCTATGGTGCAGCCTCATTTGGAATACTGTGTACAGTTCTGATTACCATATCTCAAAAACGACATTGCAGAGCTGGAAAAAGTACAGAAGAAAGCAACCAAGATGATCAGGGGGCTGGAGCACCCTCCATATGAGGAAAGGCTGAAGAGTCTGGAACTTTTTAGTTTAGAAAAGGGATTTGGGGGACACTTTCTGCGGAATTTGCTGCCAACAGATGTAGTGATGGCCACTTGTCCAGCTTTAAAAGGGGATTAGATATATTCATGGGTGGCAGGTCTATCAGTGCTTTATCAGGGGAACCTCCACATTCAAAGGCACTAAACCTCTGAATCCCAGAGCCAGGAGGCAACATCAGGGGAAAGTCTCATCCTCTATGCCCTCTTGTTGGCCCTCCAGAGGTACTGGTTGGCCGCTGTGAGACAGGATGCTGGACTAGATGGACCACTGGTCTGATCCAGCGGGGCCTCTTACATTCTTACTTTATGTATCTTATTTTATATTTCCAACATGCCACTAGACTAACCTAGGCTAACCCCAATCCACTAGTAGATGTACATCACCAGCATGGCTTTTTACTTTAATTCAATAACACTTTCTCTAACCTATATTGAAAACGTGGTGCATGTACAGTAGGGGTTGGAGAGAGGGAGAGAGAGAGAGGATTTTTCATCTCTTCCTTTCATCAACATCCCTCCTTCTACTAACAGAAAGCACTTGTCATGATTAAGTTTCAGTTTCTTCACCCTCATCTAGCCTATCACTGACTCCAAGCACCATTTCAGAACATCAACAACTTCCTCAGAATTAAGTGGAAAAGAAAGGTAGAGCTGGGTATCATCAGCATATTGATGGCACCATAGCTCAAATCTCCTGATGACCTCTTCCAGTCGCATCATCATCATCATCATCATCATCATCATCATATCTTTTGATTTATTAATCGCTCAATCCTGCAGAGCTGCTGGCTCTGAGCGATTTACAGTTACACATATTCACACAGGACTAACAATGATTCATAGGGGTAAAGGAGGACAACATATACATCTTTTAAGTCGCACACGTTTGAAGCCGACAGGGATTTTGTTCAGCTGTAGGCTTAGACGTGTTCCAGACGGCATTCACTCGGCTTGGCTTGATGACGTCAGCTTTTTCCAGGACTACTTCAAGTCACAACACCGCACTGCCACCGCCTGGCCGGATTGGCCCATTGCAGGCTTCTTGATGCCAAGGAGATCTTTCCAGGCTTCCAAGCTGGACATTCCATTTCGCCGGCTAACACCTCCCCCCATCGGGGGGGGGGGTTAGTGTGCCCACCCTCTCTAAGGAGTGGTACCCATTTTATCTACTCGCCGAAGCTTTCGAACCGCTGGGTGGACGGCGAGCTGGGAACAAGGCTGGTAGCTCACACCAGCACGGGCTAGAACTGACAGCAGTTCTGTTCAGTCCAGATGTTACTGTAACCAGAGGATAGCATTGGGTTTTGTTTTGTTTTAAGATTGAATCCTGTGGAACCCCACAGGCCAACGGCCATTGGACAGAGCAGAAATCCCCCAGCACACTTTCTGGGTCCAGCCTCCCAATTAGGACTCTAACCACTGTAATACAGTGCCCCTTAGTCACAGTACTGAGAGGTGGCCCAGTAAGAGGCCATCGTCTCTGGTATTGAAGGTCACTGAGATATTAAGCAAAACTAGCTTGGTCACACTCCCCCTGTCTAGCTCTTAATAGTGATCATCAACCAAGGTGACCAAAGCAGTCTGTTCCAAATCCTGACCTAAAGCTCTATATCTCTCTATAAAGCCTTGCCTATTTTGGTTGTTAAAAGCATGTAGCTTTGGAATTGGATGTCATCAATATGCTAATGACAACCAGCTCTATATCTCTCTATCCAAATCTCCTAGCAATGTAGTCGTCTTCAGCCACTGCCTGACTGTTGTGGTTAAATGGTGAAAAGTGCACAAACTGAGTACAAATCCCCTGGGCCAGATGGTACGCACCCAAGAGTGCTCAAAGAACTTTCTAGAGAGCTTGCAGAGCCTTTGTCCATCATCTTCTAGATCCTTTGGAGGATGGGAGACATGTCTTTCCTAATATCCAAAAAAGGGGAGGAGGGATGACTCAGGAAACTACAGGCCAGTCAGTCTGACCTCTGTCCCAGGGAAGATGCTGGAGCAGATTTTAAAGGGATCGATCTGCGAGCATCTGAAGGACAACTTGGTGATCCAGGGAAGTCAGCACAGATTTGTCCCCAACAGGTCCTGCCAGACCAACCTAATTTCCTTCTTTGATCAAGCGATGTGCTTACTGGATCGAGGGAATGCTGCTGATGTTGTTTACCTGGATTTCAGTAAAGCTTTTGACAAGGTTCCCCATGATATTCTGATGGTATACTAGAGAACTGTGGACTGGACCCTAGGATAGTTAGGTGGACAGGGAACTTGTTGGAGAACCGCACTCAAAGAGTAGTTGTCCATAGCATTTCATCTGAATGGAGGGAGGTGTTCAGTGGGGTGCCATAGGGCTTGGTTCTGGGCCTGGTACTTATCAATATTTTAATAAATGATCTGGATGAGGGTGTGGAGGGGTGACACTAAATTGGAAGGAGCAGCAAACACGCCAGAAGAAAGACATGGAATTCAACAAGATCGGAACATGGTGGAAAAGTGGGCAGATGTGAACAAGATGCAATTTAACAAGTATAAGTGCTGAGTTCTACATCTGGGTAACAAAAATGAGGAACATTTTTGGATGGGGGATACACTTCTAGGTAGCAGTCTGTGTGAACAAGATCTTGGGGTACAGGTGGACCGTAAGTTAAATATGAACAGCTAGTGTGATGCAGTGACAGAAAAGACTAATGCGATCTTGGGATGTATCAACAAGAGGCATAACATCCAAATCATAACATGTCATAGTCCTGCTGTACACTGCATCAGTCAGGCTGCACCTGGAGTATTGTATGCAGTTCTAGAGGACTCGCTTCAAAAAGGATGTGGACAGAATGGAGCAGGATCAGAGGAAAGTGACGAGGATGATCGGGGGCCTGGAGACCAAGCCCTATGAGGAAAAGCTGAGGGATGTGGGAATGTTTAGTCTGGAAAAGAAGAGGTTGAGGGGGGACATGATTGCTCTCAGTTTTTGAAGGGCTGTCACTTAGAGGAGGGCAGTGAGCTGTTCTTGTTAGCAGCAGGACTTGCAATAATGGGTTTAAATTAAGGGCGGGAAGGTACCGGCTGGATATTAGAAAAAAACCTTTTTACAGTAAGAATTGTGCAACAGTGGAATCAGCTGCCTAGGGAGGTGGTGAGCTCTCCCTCACTGGCAGTCTTTAAGCAGCGGCTGGACAAACACTTGTCAGGGATGCTCTGGGCTGATCCTGCATTGAGCAGGGGACTGGACTAGATGGCCTGTATGGCTCCTTCCAACTCTGTGATTCTATGATTCTAAGAAACTGAACCCAGACAAGACAGAAATAAAGCCGGCTGGAAAGCCTGACATTGTGCTTCCCACTTTCAATGGGGTTCAGCTGATCCTTCCTGACAGTTAAGAGCCCTAGGAATTATACTAGACCCAGCATTACTGCTGGAGAACCAAATTAATGCAGCCAACAGCTCCATTTCAAAATTCTGCCATTCCTTATCCTATTACATTGCTTATTAGAAGTATCATCCAATTGACTGCACTGGCTTACATTATGTGATCCACTTTAAGTCTCAGTGAGAAAGTCAGACTATAAAGAATAAATAAAATATAAATATTTCAAATAAAATAAAATAAATAAGGTATATTTAGGTGGCATTCTATAACAAATCTGCAATCTATGCTTACTGTTTCCTGTCAATCCTCTGGGAGATCCTGAGAAACATTTACTGCCTCCTCACTTCCCAGATTGCTGGGGAAAAGATCAATAATCTCAGATATGCAGACGATACCACTCTGATGGCAGAAAGTGAAGAGGATCTCAAGAGCCTCTTGCTCAGGTAAAAGAGGAAAGCGCAAAAGTGGGCTTGAAGCTCAAAAAACTAAGAAGGGGAAGTCATAGAAGTAGTGACAGACTTCACGTTCCTGGGATCCCAGATCACTGCAGATGGTGACTGCAGACATGAAATTAAAAGACGCCTGCTCCTTGGGAGGAAAGCGATGGCGAACCTAAACAGCATGATAAAAAGCAGAGACATCACCCTGCCAACAAAAGTCCGCATGGTCAAAGCAATGGTATTCCCAGTAGTCATGTATGACTGCGAGAGTTGGACTATAAGGAAGGCCGAGCGCCGAAGAATAGATTCTTTTGAACTATGGTGCTGGAGAAGACTCTTGAGAGTCCCTTGGACTGCAAGAAGATCAAATCAGTCAATCCTAAAAGAAATCAACCCTGACTGTTCCCTGGAAGGTCAGATCCTGAAGTTGAAGCTCAAATACTTTGGCCACCAAATGAGAAGGGAGCACTCACTGGAGAAGACCCTGATGCTGGGAAAGATTGAAGGTCAAAGAAGACGGGGACGGCAACTCAATGGCATTTTCTTCTTCTTCAAGAAGGCAAAGGGAAGAAAATGTTGTAATGGCAAGATTATAGTTCTTCATTTTGTACTTAAGATAATGGGGGGAAACTCTGATAAATCCTTGGCACTATTCTATTTACATTTAAAAATAAATGATTGTTTTAATACTCACATCATCATCAGGTCTGAATGGGTTTCCTCTACCACCAACTCCTCCTGATATACTAAATCCAAGCTCTGGATCCTTCTCAATTCTCACTCGAATCTAAAATATCAATGTTTAAAAATGAACATTACAATATGTTGAAGTTATAGCGCAGTTCACATGTAGCACATGATCTCTCTCCCTAGGTTTACTAATCATAATGCGTAGGGCCTGAAGTTCTCCTGGAATTACAACTGATCTCCAGACTGCAGACATCAGTTCACCTGAAGGAAACTGAAGCTTCAGAAGGCAGACTCTATGGTATTACTTACATCCCTGCTGAGTTTCCTCCCCAAACTCTGCCTCAACAATACAGCCCCCAAATCAATCTGTACTTTCCCAAACTAAGTTTGCAAACCTACATCCCGCCCCCCCTCCTCGGTAAAGCACAAGTTCACCATTACAGCCAAACCAGGCCATGTTACAAAGAACACATGTACAATCCACAGCCAGTGTATATGCTACATTCAACATGTGCATGGATGAACGCCCAAGATACATTTTACCCAGTGAATACGCACTGGCTGTTCCTTACAAGCAGATTAACATTGTACACCCTGCATGTGTTTATTGTACTGTATGTACAGGGATTTTATCTTGCCAAGGAGGAGAGCATACTGGAGTGTGCAAGAGAAGGGGGAAGGTACAGATACGCTTCACGGCACCTTCCCAATCCCAATACAGGTCTTTAAATACAAACCAGATCTATGAAAGATATCAGCTTATTTCATCACATGCATTGATACAGCACAACTCAACAGTATTCTGTACATGGCCGGTACATAATTTGTAGTAGGCCAGACACTGGCCCTCAATATGGTAGTATACGCCAATGGCTATATATTCAAAAAAGGTAAAACATCTACAGTATTATGCTCAGAAATGAAATATTCAATCCTAAAAATAAAGAGCTAGAGTCAAACTTTCAGTGTAAGAACTCAAATAACTGAGAATGAAAGCAAACTGAGGAGAATGGGCATAGGGCATATTTCTCCCATAACACAAATTACTGGAGTACTTTATTACACAACTAAGTGTAAATCTAAATAAAGATGCCATGTTGCTAGTAACAAGGAAGTGACTGAAAAGTTAACTTAACCTTGAACAGAAAAAAGCTACTTCGTATGAAAGACTCCATTCTGCATTTCAAAGGACTGTTTCAGATTGTATCTTTGTCAATTATAAACTATTGTCCATTAAAGTGCAAACCCACTGTATTAAAACTGGTACAAAGAACTCTTTGCTCATTTAGGCTACAAGCCTATTCTATAAAAATCATTGGGAACTTTGGCATGGACTTCAGCATACAGCTGCTAACCTCCAGGTGGTGGGTGTAGATCTCCTGGGATTACAAATGATCCCTAGGCAACAGAGATCAATTCACTTGGGGAAAATGGCCACGTTGGAAGGTGGACTGTAGGGCACTATCCCCCACTGAAGGCCTCCCCTCCCCCAAACCCCACCCTCCCCAGGCTCCAGCCCCCCAAAGTCTCCAGGTATTTCCCAACTTGGAGCTGGCAACTCTACTTCCGTATGAGCAGTAAAATGTCTGAAGGCAACAATGGCTTAATAGTTTGAATTAATGCTTTCTTTTTCTTTGTGCCTTAAGAGCCTCAAGTTTGGTTTTAATAGATTACTGCACATACAAGGAACAGGGATTTTTAAGTTTTTAGAAGTATTTTTAAGTATCCTTTGTGGTACCTTTTCAATTCAAGCTCTTCAACTAATAGTTTTGAAAGCAAGATTTATTTTAAAAAACCCAATATTAGTCCTTGCTACACTGATCTAGTATAAGATCATGTTAGATCTAGTGTAAGACCAAACAAGCAATAGTGTCTTGTCTTTTTTGGTTTATAATATAACAGCATAGTATTATCTGAACACAACAATTAAAAAAAAACTTTTATATAAATTGACATCTAAAAATCAGATGAATTAAACACTTTTCTGATGTCTAGGAGAGATAGTGGTTGGGTCCAAAGGTGCTCATGTGACTGGAAGGCACTTCAACTTATATAAAGGTGTATGAGCGTCTGAGATTTCCATGGTTTTCCCACTAGAACTGTAGCCTCCTGTGATACATTCCCTACTGTTCCTGGGACTCTGAAGACCCTCTGGGACTGATTTATGGAGAAATACAGGAAGATCCACTGTGATGGCCCTTCCACAGAACCCAATATAACACTTTGAGCTTTGGCACCATTACGCTTCAACAATTTCCTGTAAGACCATAAACTGAAGTAGCAACAGAGAGCATTATCAACCATCATTTTAGTGAGCCTGAAGACATCCACAGAACCTGAACTAATGAGTAGCCAGAGCAAAACTGTGGTGCTCAGTAATCCACACCACACCAAATGGCTCAGATTCGACAAACCATGAACACCACCTGTGGAAAGGTTCTACTGCAGCCCTCTGAGCCCCTTCTGCCCCCTTCTGCTCCTTAGGGTTAGGGGTCCCCTTAGGAATAGTGTGAGATGCAAAACGGGGGAATCAGCAGAAATTTTTGTGCCAGCACCTTTTGTTTGAACTGCCTTCAGTTATGCCAAGGGTCAAGGAGAAATTTATCCTTGGTAAACCAATGCCCAATGGATTTTCAGATGACCTGGGGAACTGCAGCAAGAAGACCATGATAGATAAGGCTCCTTATGGGAACTCTGCTTGCTGCTTGTTGACTCCAAGCCAATACCAGAACCCAGTGCTCATAATAATAAACCTTAACACCAGTGTGAAAACCTATCCCTACAACACAACAGAAGTTATTCCTTTACCTCTTGCTTTGACAGCTCATGGCTCTGCCTGGATAAACCTTGGGACTGAGTGTAGGGGGGCTGATGGGCAACTTTCAGCATCAGATAATCGATCAGTTGCTCTCTAGAAGGATGTCTTGCTACAGATGTTTGGGGAGCAGGATGATGAACTTGAGTATAGTTTGCCTGAGGTCTTGAAGGCTGGCACAGCTGCCCATTTGTCAAAGGTATCTGAATAAAGTAAATCATAATTAACCAGCATTTTACATCAGCAAGGTTAACAGTTTGCTTTATACAGCTATTCTGATTTATCATGCTTAGCAAGTATCTTAGCTGCGGTGGCTCAAGTGGTTAAGACACTGAACTGCAGGCCGTGGAAGGTTGGTAGTTCAGCAGTTCGAGACCTGGGTGCCGCATGATGGAGTGAGCTCCCATCTCTAGTTCCAGCTCCTGCCAACCTAGCAGTTCGAAAGCAAGAAATTGCAAGTAGATAAATAGGTACCACTTCAGTGGGAAGGTAACAGCGTTCCGTGCACCTTGGTGTTTAGTCATGCCAGACACATGACCACGGAAAAGTCTTCGGACAGCGCTGGCTCTTCGGCTTTGAAACGGAGATGAGCACCGCAACCCTAGAGTTGGACTCGACTGGCTTTTGAGCAAGGGAACCTTTACCTTTACTATATTATATATTTTCTTTAAACTAGTAATATTTTATAAAAATAAAGCTAAACAAACAGCATTTCTCTCAACTTTTGTATAGAGGAGACTAGACAGCCTCCTGATGGGCTAAAGTTAAAAATAACCAATTTCATTTGGGATTTTTGGTTTGGAATGACAGAGAACTTTCTAATGTAAAAAGTGGCAGGAAACAAATTACTCCACTGATCACAATTTTTTAAAAAAAATCTAAAATCAAGACATAACCCTTAAACACATGAGGAATAGAGTTCATTGAAATATTCTTTGTTGAAAATGTTGTTAGAGAGACTAGAAATATGCACCATATGCATGTGTTAGCAGAAGTACTGTAGGACCTGAAAAGTTGACACAGAATCACCTCCAAACTAGAAAGCTATGAATGGTGTGGGTTATTAGATTAATAGTTTACAACTGCTCCATGTTTCCAAGAATTGGGCAGTATCCTACCTTAGGCTGCAGGAAGTTCCTCTAACTTGTGACTCTCTGTCCAACAGAAGAGCCACAAATTGCAGGAAGGCTTCTTAGGGTAGAAGACAGCTTCAAACTTTGCTTAGTTGAGTGGTAGGATACAGGCCATTGTAGGAAAAAAGATTAGGGTGAATACAAATAAATGCAATGGTGATGATAGAAAGTAGGTCTTCAAAACAGCAGTAAGTATCTACTTATACAAGAAATATTCATTACAGCACACATACTGTATCCGAAATACTGAAACATGTACCCTTTAAAAGAGTAAAATTAATAGCTATATTCACTACACATTGTACTGAACTTTTCTTGTACCAGTAGTCTCCACGTATGAGGCTTTGTCCCTGTGTTACATTACATCTGAACTTTAAAGGTGTGCATATAGAATGAATTATGTGGTTTTGTACCTGTACAGGAAGTTTCTTCATGCTGTCTGGAGCAACATCTTTGAGACTAAGTGTGGCAGATGAGTAATTTTGCTGTCCAGAAATAAATACATCGTCTTGACATTGTTCTACTGATGTAGATGTTTGGGGATGCTTTAAATGACAAAACAAAAGTATGTACATATTTCTACTACATCGTGGTATATAATTTTAGTATTTAAGCACTCTTTCAAAGGATTATAACCATACAATTGCTGATTATATTCACATGAATGCCAGGCATATTATTTAAGCATATTAAGGAATTTAATCCTATTACATCAGCTCTGAGATGACCACAACACTGGCTTTTGAAAAACACTGGAACTTTTAAAAGACTCAAAACTTTATAACAAACCATAATGAACCTATTCACAAAAAGTTGCCATTAAAGGATTTGCAATCTTAATGTAAGTCTTTTGTTGACTTGTTATGCTAGATTTATTCTTTTTCTGGCTCATGCTGGTCAGACAACACTACTTCCTACACTTTCTCATTGAACTGTGTAACAAGTTTTGTTTTGTTTTTTGCAATACTGCCTCTGGATGAAAGCTGTATTGTTTATATTCATTAAGAACTGAAAGATGGGGAAGGGTAGTACAACACTGCATCTATGTGGTATCCTGTTTCCAAAACAGCCAGTGGTGTATCATTGCAAACGATGTACCAAATAATCTTGTGTCATCAAAGTGCATTGCACCTCAAAGAGAAATATAGGTGCACTTTTATGCAGGATTATACCCTTATATGCCTGCTGAAGTCAAGGTGCTTAGAAGGGTGTAACCCTATTCAGGCTTGCACAGTAAGGAACCTCCAGCCTAAACATTCAAAGAGAAGGAGGTGAGCAAGGTAGGAGGCCAAAAGCAAAGAAAAAATACACGTTCCTTTCAGTTACAGGTGCTTTGTCTTCATTTTAATAAGGCCGGTTTTTTAAATCGATTTGAAAGGAGGCAGCACATATAACTAATGTTTAGGGAAAGTGGTACAAGGGAAAAAACGTTATAGGGCAGAGTAATTTGAGGGAGGAGACCTTCAGACAGTTGAGGACGATGGTACTTAGATGGGATAAACTGGGAAGCAATGGTGAAGTAATTGAAGGTATAAGGTCATGGAGACAAAGACAAGGCTGTTTGGGCTGTATGCAAACACAGACAGTAATCTACATAAGTAGGGGCATCTCATGGTCTGAGCAAAGCAGATGTGAATGACTTTGGCAGCAAACTATTAGACAGATTTGTGAAGGCTGATGTGTAACAGTGGAAGTCTTGCAGAAGAAATGGTAGTGCACAGGACAAATACACTGCACAGGACAAAGAGCATACTTGCTAATTGTCACCAGAAGGATGCCTCCCCCCCCCCCCCCCCCCCCCGCCAAAGTTGTACAATGAGAAGCAACATGATTTGGTATTTGACTGATGGGTCATATGGAGGAGGAGGAACAAACATAACCAACAAAACAGACAATGATGAAGTTAGTAGTAAACAAAACATATCCGAAGAGGAGATAGTTTATAAGGAAAGGTGAGAAATTGAGTCTTGGACATACTAAGCTTTAGTAAATTTTAAAAAAACCTGGGAAGGCAAGTCATCCATGTTTTGAAATTAGGTAACTGTTTTATATTTGTGGTTACCAATGATATTTATTGTCTATGGGTTCACCATATGAATCTTGGCAGCACAATGTTCTATGTCTCCATTGTACAGAACTGTAACAGTGTTTATATAGTTTCAATGACTACCAACCCTTTAAAAGACTAAATAAAGGGGATCTCTACCCAGAACGTATAATCTAAAGGCAGGTAGGGGGGGGGGGACAATATAAGGAAAGTCAGAGAAGCTAAAACATCAATGTGAGTCACTGGAAATATATATAGATCACATCAGAATATATTATTCGACAGCCTGAAAGCAGTAAACATCAGGTCATGCCACACATACTTGAAGGATAACGATTTAGAGTAACAATTACCCAAGCAACTCAAGACAGCAGCACATTTTATGTACTTGAGAAAAGGAATTCCTGAGAAACCTGCCAATTTAACCTGAGGATAGATTTCTTGCAGATTTTTATATGGCTATCAATTGACTCATAGGTATGTGCTCAGTGTGCAACGGCTTTCAGAATTGACCACTGCTGATGTTTTAGCAGAAGGTAAAAAATCCAAAAATATTAGAAGGGGGGGGGGAATTCCTCAATAATTGCCATTATTGAATCACTATTTTGCAACAGGTAGAAGCCAGCCATAATATAGAAGTACACAAAGCTATAGAAGTGGACGACTCCAAAGATGTTTCACATGCCTGTTTCCTTGCTAACAATAGCCTTTTTATGCATGTACTCACACGACCAATGTGAACACCAGAACTTCTTCCGTCTGCAACACTCAAGGTAACATTGCCCTGGCTGCCATGCAGATCCCTAGAGCTGCCATAGTGAAAGCTGCTAACTGGAGCATAATTGGAATTAAAGGACCTAGACAGCATGCTCTGAATAAAGAAGGGACAGATAACACAGAGATTAGTGCAGCATGCATAAATCACGGGACATGTTATACAGACTTGATACAGACATACAAACTGTGTATCATGCAAAAATAACACCATGCACACCAAGGGTGATGCCCATCACAAAAAACAAAATCTCAGTGACGCCTTATGTGATCTTTACTGCAAATTGAACATGCAGCCTGATACAATATACATGTATATTATATTCAAATGCATGTGTCTCAGGAAAATGTGTTTGGGTATCGGATTTTAAATGCTAGCAACATACCTCTCTAGGTGGCTATGTTGATGGAAAGGGAAAGTAGAAGATTGAAATGCACCCCACCCCCGTCCGAACAAAATTTCTTCTCAACATATTTCTGCATTATGTCTTCTGTACTAACTATACTTTGATTATATTTTTAAAACCAGCACAATTTTATGATAACATGAAAAAAGTTTGAATCCAGTGGCACCTTTAAGACCAACAAAGTTTTATCCAAGGTATAAGCTTGTAACTGTGGAAGTGTGCTTGAACACAAAAGCTTATACCTTGAATAACACTTTTTTCTCCTGCTTCAGACCAATACAGCTTACCCACCTGAATCTATGATAACAGAGAGTTTATTATCAATATATTTAGAGAACAGTGATATAGTGTGATTTTACATGCAATTATTTAAACTTTTATAAAGCCACACTGCACTCCAGCACTTATTTTTGGAAATTCTGATCCTGGCCTAAGAATGGCTTTTCAGCAGAGATTTCTGCAATTAATATACAGAAAGATGAACAAATAAGAGTAGAGGGAAGTTTTGCAAAATGTATGTTTCTAAAAATATTCAAATACAATCAGGTTTGTAGTGTTGTATTGTATTACTAAAGGTTATAAAATACTGTGAATGGATTATTTGTGAGAATGTATTATAGTTAAATGGTTAAATTTATAACCACTTTCTTTAGTGACTGATCCTAAAAACCTTGTTTTAGCTTTGTTTATCTGTAACTCTCCAGAAACATATATATTTACACTGAGATTCTGTGTACTCTTTAGGCCCCCTTCTAACATTCTAACATGGGGTTCAGTGTGGTCTAGTGCAAGGTGATACACATTGGAGCCAAAAATCCTAAATATAAATACACATTGATAGGGTCTGAACTGGCAGAGACTGAACAAGAGAAAGATCTTGGAGTTGTAGTAGATAACTCACTGAAAATGTCGAGACAGTGTGTGACTGCAATAAAAAAGGCCAATGCTATGCTGGGGATTATTAGGAAGGGTATTGAAAACAGATCAGCCAATATCATAATGCCCCTATATAAATCAATGGTGCGACCTCATTTGGAATACTGTGTGCAGTTCTGGTCACCACACCTTAAAAATGATATTATAGCTTTGGAAAAAGTGCAGAAAAGGGCAACTTGAATGATAAAAGGGTTGGAACACTTTCCCTGTGAGGAAAGGTTAAAGCGCTTAGGGCTCTTTAGCTTGGCGAAACGACGACTGAGGGGTAACATGATTGAGGTTTATAAGGTCCATCAGTGGCTATTAGACACAAGGTATAGATAGGGGCTCTGGGGCAAGTGATGCTCTGTCTTCTTGGTGCGTGGGGGGGGGGTCAACAGTGGGAGGGCTTCTAATGTCCTGGCCCCACTGGTGGACCTCCTGATGGCACTGGTATTTCTGGCCACTGTGTGATACAGAGTGTTGGACTAGATGGGCCTTTGGCCTGATCCAACATTGGCATCTCTTATGTTCTTAAGATTATGCATAGAATAGAGCAGGTAGAGAGGTACTTTTCTCCCCTTCTCACAATAAAAGATCTCGTGGGCACTCGAAATTGCTGAGCAGTCGGGTTAGAACGGATAAAAGGAAGTACTTCTTCACCCAAAGAGTGATTAACACATGGAATTCACTGCCACAGGAAGTGGTGGCGGCTACAAGCATGGTCAGTTTCAAAAGGGAATTGGATAAGCATATGGAGCAGAGGTCCATCAGTGGCTATTAGCCACAAGGTATAGATAGGGACTCTGGGGCAAGTGATGCTCTGTCTTCTTGGTGCTGGGGGGGGTCAACAGTGGGAGGGCTTCTAATGTCCTGGCCCCAATGGTGGACCTCCTGATGGCACCTGGTATTTTTGGCCACTGTGTGACAGAGTGTTGGACTGGATGGGCCTTTGGCCTGATCCAACATCGGCATCTCTTATGTTCTTACGTTCTTAACAATACCTCAACCACGTGGGATTGATATGGCCACTTTCCAATCCAACCTACTCCTTCTAAGAGCTGGAGGTGAAACACTGACATAAAAAAGAGCCAAAATCATGAACTGTGATATCCTGGTCCCCTCGGAACATTTCATGCCCTTTCACCAACTTTCAGCTTTCATGGTTAAAAATACCCCAAAGTCTATAATGATCTTCTTGGAAGGCATAAGAACAGATATTCAGACAGCACTCAACCCAGACCTAAAACTCTCTACCATAAAATAAGGTTCAGGCTCTTGTGTAGGAAGCTAATCCCGTGAAGTTTGAGTACTTTGGCCTTAATTCTTTTAATGGCTTTTCTACAAGTTAACATGTGGAATTTATTATCCCTGATGTGACCTTTATCAAATATTTTCTCAGCAGAGACTCCTTTAAAATAACCGCTGAGAAAGATGATGAATATGTTGAAAAGGTGAGGTATTTATTTATTTTTATTTACATTAATATTTACATCTTTCTCACTGGGACTCTAGGCGGATTACACAGACTGAGCCAATACAATCAACAGAATGGGACACTCAATAACAGTGCAATAGGACTAGAGTCATAGAACCAACCAGAAATCTAGAAACAGAACTGAAGCAAAGCATAAGTATTAACACGACACATTAAACGATGCAAAATTATATAGTAGGACCCTACTTACAGCAAATTCCAAGTGACTTTGTGAATAATTTTGTACAGTGCAACCCTATTGCCTGCATAGAAAAGCCCTCTCAAATAATTCAGTTTTGCATAGTTTGCAGAAATCCAGGAGAATGGAAGCCTCCCTGGCCTCCTCAGGCAGGCCATTCCATAAGGTGGAAGCCACAACAGAGAAGGCATGTGTACAGGCAGCTGATGATTTTGCCCATTTGCACGTTGGTACCTGCAGAAGGCTATATTCAGATGGACCAAGCTGTTGTGGCAGAGCATAGGAGTCTCACAGATATGAGGGTCCAAGGCCATGAAGGGTTTGTATATGATAGCCAATGCCTTAAATTGAGTCCAGTAACTCATAGCCAGCCAGTGGAATGACTGCAGAATGGGAGTCAAATGCATGTTCCATCTAGCTCCCGATAACAGCCAAGCTGCAGAATTCTGCGCCAACTGTAAGTTTCTGAGTTGATTTAGAGGGGAGACCAACATACAGTGGCATGGATCTAGATAGCCAGATTAGCTGTATCAAGGTAAGGGGCCATTTTACAAGCTAGGCTGAGTTAGAAGAAAGCCTGCATTAACTTGCTTCTCCAGCAATAACAATGGGTCCAGTATAATTCCAAGGCTCTTCACTGGGTCAGCTGAACGCCATCAAAAGTGGGGAGCATGATGTCTTTCAAAATCTCCATTTTCTCAACCAGCATTATTTCTGCCTTTTATAATGATATACTATTGGTATTGAAACAAATTGTCTCAAAGCAATTATTTCATATGTAAAACAGTAATTAAACAATAATTTCTTCAGGGCACCATTCCAATGCAGAGGAGTGCCTTCCCAGTCAACATTAATTTAAGCACTGCATTGTGCTTCTGAAATCTAGGCAGCTATAAAACTATTTACTTGTTGATTGATATCGTAATTTAAAGCAGAACACTCATCTGGGAAAGTACACACAGCCCTACCACACATTATCCTTGCAGCAAGTTGCCATCAGAAAGATCCACATTTTGGACATATCTCCTTGGCTTGTTAATGTTAACTGTTGGAACTGGTTGGCCACTGTGTGAGACAGGATGCTGGACTAGATGGACCATTGGTCTGATTCAGCAGGGCTCTTCTTATGTTCTTTTATCATATGAATATTACTTTGCATGACTGGTTAACTACTTGGAGTGGCAACCACAAAGTTAGTCCCCCTGGCATGCACATCACTAGAGTAACACTGGAATCAAGCAACAGAGAAGTACATGAACTGCAGACCCAGGCCTCCAAACTCCACACCACACAATGCTATTATTTACTATAGCTTACATACTCCAAGCCACAGAAGACTATAGTTTTGATCACAGAAAATAGCACACACACACTTTTTAACTTCTGTAGAACTTTAAAGGTATGCAAATAGTTTACAGCTAAACAAGGTTAAAGTTTTGCATTCTGTACCAAACACATTCAATCCAGCTGTGTATATACAGTAAGGTTTGTATCTGTTGCTCTACATGGTAGATACAAGGAAACTACTGTTTGTAAAGACGGTCCCACTAACTGCATGTAAGTACATACAGTTATATATGTATGTATGCAGGGGTCATTTGGGGGGGGACGCGGGGGGGCGCCATCCCTCCGGGTGAGGTGCGGGAGGGCGGGGCCTGGAGCTCCCTGCTGGTGCCCGCTGGAGGTCGCCACCGGCTGTGGGGAGGACACACTTCCGGTGATGTCAGGGGGTGTGGCATATGCTAATGAGTTATGCTAAATGAGTCCCCCTAGCTCTTTTTCTACGAAATGACCCCTGTATGTATGTATGTATGTATAGGCAGATTTGCAATAACAGTGCCAGGTCCAGTTATGTACTTATCAGCAGTAAGCCTGCTTCATTATACTGGAGAATGGATTTATGGCACCTACCCCATTCTTAAGTGAGAGATCGGTGGGGGCTGATCTTTAAATTCACATTATGATTTGAAGGCACTTGGAAGCGGCAAATTGTCACAATGATTTTCAAAGTGCCCAGAGTTAGGCATTCAACTGGAAAAATACCAGTCAAACAATGGTCAAGAATTTTTAAAGCATTAGCTTTATTTAGAACAAAAATATATATACTTTAATCAACAGGTTTGATAATTATGCTAATTATGCTAACACAGCTAACTGTTATTGTGAAACAATTACTTTTAAAAAAAGAAATGAACAAATGGCTTTTAACAGTTATGTAAGGTTTCTATGTGTGAACACTTCAAGCCTTTTGCTCTCTGGTTTCTATCATGGATCACCAAGGTCATTCTACGGAGACAAATGTATAAAACAAAGATTGCAAAATAATAGCAACTACGGGAAAACAAAGTACATTTGGAGATGCAGATGGCCAACAGAAAACACTCTGCTATACTGCAAAGTTTGCCCTCAGTGCTGCTGGGTGTGGAGGCAATAAGCCTTCACTCATGCTTTTGTTAAGAGACAACATAACAATGAAACAAAGTAGCTGCAAGCTATGAACTAGCATTCTTGGCTTCGTGGACTAATTAGCAACATCTGACAGCACTCTACTGCATGGGGAAAAGGGGGCATTCTTTGTACAATAGTGAGTGCTTTAAATCTCAATAGGACCGCAGTGGCAAGTCCTTCTCTCTTCCGAGTAAAAGGAGGACAAGATGGCCACTCCAACAGTTGTTTCATTTTTAGAGACACGCCAGTGTGAATGGAGAAGACAGCTTGTGTTTCCACACTCTTCACTGTTTCCAAACGTCTCTCAAGTTCCAGTGAAGAGAAGGGAAGGTTTAGAGACAATGACAAACTACATGTTTTGGCTGTTATCAGATATATGTGGACACTTTTTGGTTCTTTTTTATGGCTGTGTATTTCATAATCTGCAGGAAAACAGCAGGCTGCTAACTTTATTATCTCTCCTTCACACACACTACTATTTGTAAAATTATAGCTCAGCAGTTTCACACAGTTTACATAAGCACTGTTAAAGATGATTTCTAGGAAACACTGTAACATGAAGTCTTGCATCTACCCAGGAGTAATTTAATAAGGACCAAAGAAAAATCTTGCTTGAATAGCCTAGCATTCTGTCTCCAACAACAGCTAGTCAGTCACAAGCACGGTATGAAGGAGTTATCCATTCACTACTCTTTGCCTCCAACATCTGGTAATGAGAAGGGTACTGCCCCAATAAAGTACAATGGACAAAGTGTCATTTTCTTTAAAAAATAATTAATTTGAATATCATCTTTTTATATCAAATTTACTAATTCCATAGGGCCTAGGTGATCAAAGACTCATTTACAGTATACTTGCCTTATTGGGTCAAAAAACAGACCCAGTTTCAATTGCAACACATTTTCCACTAGTTGTTGTAGATTTTCCGGGTTGTGTGGCCGTGTTCTTGGCATTGTAGAACCTGATGTTTCGCCAGTAGCTGTGACTGCCAGTGGTCACAGCTACTGCCAGTCACAGCTACTGGCGAAACGTCAGGTTCTACAATGCCAAGATCATGGCCACACAACCCGGAAAATCTACAGCAACTAATGAACTCTGGCCGTGAAAGCCTTCAACAACAAATTTTCCACTGTCCTAGATGTTTCCAAGAGTGGAAAGAAAAGGTCACAAATACTTGACAAAGATTCCACTTTCACCATAAAAGACACGTGGTAACTGCTGTAGGACACAGTGCTTCAATGGTGACCTTCACAGGAGGAAGCAGGGGTGCATTTTCAGCAGCAACTGCTATAGGCCAGTAACTGTCAGCATACATAACCAAAGCCAAAAACAGTCAATACACCGAAAGCTGCCTTTCCAGGTTTTAAGCCTAAAACGGCTGCATTCCCTGTGAAAGTCAGGTACAGAATTTTATACCCCTTAAACAGTCTTAAACGGACAAAATAATGAATCCCTTAATACAAATAGGTGAAAGTCAATTCAAAGAGAAATGTCTATCTAACACTGATAGTTGTGCAAAGGTCTACTTCTGAAAGCAGAAGGCACTTCATGCAGCAGGCTGGACAAACAGGGACAGGGACAGACCGCATTTTCAAGGAAATTCAACCCCTCACCTATGCAGATTACTTCACTTCTATACAGATTAGCTCAGTATGGTTATTCATGCCAAAGCCTGCTGACTTCTTCAAGAGAGCAAAACAAGTAAATTCTTTCCAATATACACATAAGGCCCCCAACAGTCCATTTCATCAGCAAGTTTTGACAAGTGTTAAGAACTGTTTATACATGTTGGGGAACTCCAAAGGAGGAAAAATCCCATTCAGATACCCTCCATTGCCTCTACTTCCTACCCATGGCTGGCTCCCAAAACACCCCCCCCCATTAACCCCTTCTTCCAACTGCCATGGGATCCACTTTACCTACCTCTACTTCCTCCAGCTTTCCTTCCTTCCTTCAACTCCCATCCTGCTGCTTCCCTCCTGCTCATCTGCTCTCCTTTTGCTGACTACTGCTTTTTCCTTCTCCACTCCCTCTCACCCCCCACAGCCACTTCCTTCCCTGATTCCTGCCTCCCAGCCCATCTCACTGCAGCGTTGTTACCATCTCATCAGATGCTTGGGAAAGGGCTCTACACCTTTCTCCAGATTCACTGCATGAGACACTTTATGTTGTTGTTTGGGGTTGTCTTGGCAATCAAAAATACCACCCAGTGAAGTCTTCTCATGACACATCACAGCTGTCAAAATAATCTGTTTTTATGCCATTAATTTTTTAAAAACTTTCAGATTTTTCTGTACATCTGGGAGTGGCTTTGTTTTGATTTTAAAGATTTAACCCCAAGTATCTTTGCTGTGAGGATTTTTTGATCCCCATGGTGGTGCCATAGTTAGCAATTAGTTATACAGATATTCACAGTCAAGTTTGGCTGCTTTTTCTGATGGATGGAGCCTGCATACCTACAGTAATGCCTGAACAACCATCATATGGCACAACTAAATTACATGGCAAGTTTGCACAGCTTTCTGAGAGGGATGGCACTTAGCAGAAACTGTCTACTACCCCCTCAGAGATTATCATTACACACAATACCACACAAGTATGTTACAATGTCACTAGAGTGATATGGGATCCAGCCCCCTATGTCATTAAATATACAAGAAATCACTGTAACTTAGATTTCACATTTACTAAACTTTACTGCAAACAACTGTTACAAAGCCTTTAGAAACTAACTATTGTAAATATTGGGATGTTTACATTGTCAGTTATTGTTTAGCTGAATACATCCAAGTGATTCACATTATTAAAACTTCAATGCACACAACTGTAACTGCAGAACATGTATCACTCAAAATGGCTGGATGGCTCAGTTTTATAGAATGAACTGAAAATATCCATTTTCCTTACCTTTTCTAACTTTTTGGCCTCAATGTGTCGCAGCACCTGTTCCCTCCAGTCATGAGGGACTTTATTTTTTCCTGGAGCATCTAGCAGAGAGTGTTCAGAATTAACTCTTGGATTTGTTCTTTTAGAGGGACTAGTCCTCGAATAATTGAAGTCACTAACTGACATAGTTCTCTCTGGTATTTCATTTGCTGAGGGGCGAGCACTCTGAGGTCGGGGTACATTTGGACCATCAACACTATAGGTTCTTGCAGAAAGTGGTCTTTGTGGTCCTCCTGATATTATGGGTGGGACTCTTCCCATCGAATGCAAATCCCTGTATGTTAAATAATCCCCTTCAGGAATCTGAGGACGCCGGGGAGGTCCAGTATCACAAACATTCATGGAAGCAGTGGAAGATACGCTGCTCTGCCGCTGAAGGGTATTTCTGGTTGCCCCTGACAGAAGTCTGTCATTTGGTGAAACAGCCCACATTTCCATGTGCCTCCCACCCATTCTTTGATGCATATTATATGCAGCACTTGCTCTAACATTGTTATGGTTAGAAAAATTCATGTTGGCAGAGTATTTCACAGAACTGCAGCCTTCTACAGTATCTGACCTTGGCAAGCGTTGAGGATGCAAGCAACTTTGTTCAATGACAGAATTCTGCTTTTGGGGCCACAAAGTGTCTTTGGCTCCCATACTGCTGCTGTATTGAATGTTATACTGGGGATTACTGGGTGGTTGTGAAGTATTTGTCCCTTGCCCTCTTATTACATTAGTACCTTCAGGATTATGGTTTGAATCAAACTTGAAAACTGTTTTTGTACATATTAGATCAGATGATGATGATGATGAAGATCCAGGAAATACTTGCAAAGGCTGGTCACAGAGAAGAGTAGCTGACTTGCTACGGACAATATTTTTTCCATCCGGAACTGCAGGTACTGATTTAACTACTGGACTCAGTTGCTGTGATCCATTGTCGTTGATAATATCATAGATTTTCAGAGCCCCCATGTCCATGTTAGTTATGCTATGAGATTTCACAACTGGCCCACTCCGCTGTGGGGACAAATCTTCAGTGCTCTTTGAGAGACACATTTCCGAAGAAGAATCTGTATCAAGCGTAGCACTTCTCTTCAGTTCTGATTTTCCTGTAGAGTGAGGTACTTCTTCAGAATGTCCATTGACATTATTTAAAGGGCACAGATTAGAAGATTTCTTTTCATTTCCCATGTGCTCCATCTCTCCTTTAAAGTTGTTGTTTAAAAAGCCCTTAATGGATGCTACTTCCTGTGTTTTTATTCGTTCCACATTTGATTGCATTCCTTCCTCACCAGCCAACTTGCAGATATTCATGCTGATTTGCTGCAATTTGTGACTTTCGTCAGTAGCGCTGTTTAGTTCAACACCTTTCTCTATTAAAGCTAATCTCTCTTCAATGCTTAATGTAAATTCAGTAAAATTGGTAACTCTATCTTGGGCAACCAGTTTTTCTTCTGCTGTGACATTTATTTCACCTCCATTTTGTAATAGGCTATTAGAATTTTCATCTTCTTGCCTGAAAACAAAAATATTGTTTAATTCAAGAGTATAAGACTAACCTTCTTACACAACTTTTGGCAGGCATATGCTTATTTAAATAATTCTGCACCATCTGACCTTTAAAGTTCTAGAATCCAAGAAAAACTCTGCAAAATTGGAAACAGCCTAGCAAGTGGGGACATAGCAGTGGAAGGCTGCAATCTGCAGGCTACCTGTCAGCTGTATAAAATGATGCATGGAGTGGAGAGAGTTGACAAAGGGAAATTTTTCTTCTTCTCTCAAAATGCTAGAACTCAAAGGTACCCAATAAAGCTGATGGGCAATAGATTCAGGACAGACAAAAGGAAATACTTCTTTACACAGAGAGTGATTAAAATGTGGAATTTGCTGCCAGAGAATGTAAAGAAGAGAAGAGATTGGATTTACACCCCGCTCTTCAGTCAGTCTCAGAGCGGCTTACAAACTCCTTTCCCTTCCCCTCCCCAGGACAGACACCCTGTGAGGTAGGTGGGGCTCAGAGAGCTCTTGACAGAAACTGCTCTTTTTCGAGAACAGCTCTGACAGGACTATGGCTTGCCCAAGGTCATCCAGCAGCTGCAAGTGGAGGAGTGGGGAATCACTTAACCACTACACCAAACTGGTGATGGCCCAGGAACAAACAGCTTTAAAAGTGGGTTAAGAGAGATTCATGGAGAATACATCTATGAGTGGCCACTAGCCATGGTGATTAAGGGAACCTCCATGTTCAGAGATTGTCAGCCGCTGAATCCCAGTGCCATGAAGCAACATCGGGGAAAGTCTCGGCCTCTTATGCCCTGCTGCTGGCCCTCCAGAGGAACTGGTTGGCCACCATGTGAGACAGGACGCTGAACTAGATGGACCACTAGTCTGATCCAGCAGGGCTCTTCTTATGTTCTTCAAACTATACCAGTATTGTGAGGGTAGGGAATATTTAGCCTCTCAAGTGACCAAATCAGCTAAGCATCTTCCGCTGCTTCTTCAGTCATATGTCAAGCAAAGAAGAAAACAAAAGCCGGCATACTAGAAGTAAACCCAATGGCATCTTAGCCAAGGACAATATCTTCCATACTCTATTTACTTTCATGCCAGCTGCAATTCTGCTACCACCACTAGGGAGTGGGTGGGAGAAACTATCCCTCCAATTCTCCCTCCCCCATTCAGAGCTGCTGAGGGGCAACCAGGGGAATAAAATTCTAAAAGTCCTGGTTATCCTGCAGGACCATAAAGCTGGATAAGTAATGGGATTTGCTTTCATATGATGTTTGGGTTTCGTATGGGCAGTATGAATTGGAACCAATGGGAACATTTATCTAAAGGCTCCTAGTGCCTTCTTGCCCTAATTTGGACACAATGTGTTTTTCCCATTCAAGAATACCTTTCTTGGGACATCAAGGTAGACTACATCAGAGGGGCGCTTCGAGGCACACTGCAACTGACATTAGAAATGCAATATGGGAACTTTTCTGTGTTTCAAAGCAGAGATTACAATTTCACAGTCAAATTTCAAAAGCGAACTTCAACACTCAATTATACTCAACATTCCAAACATAGTTATTGTGTAAGAATTCACAAACCTAATTTTAGAAGTGATGGACATGTTTCTTTCTTTCTCTGGAGAGCACAGTGATGCTTCGTGGCTGCTGTCAGTATTTATGGAAACTGAATCAGACATCCGAGAAGGGGAGGAACAATTGCTGTTGTTCTGGTTGCTGTTGTGGGTAGGTTCATCCGATAATGAATCTACATCTTTACTGTCATCTGAAAAAATGCAGTTCAATTTAGCATGTGCATACAGTTAGCTCAGAGAAATACATCACAGTAATTTAAGAAAGCATAATTTTCATATTCTGTTGAATATGCATAAATAAATTGTTAGCAAAACTCAAAATTTCAGACCTAGACAACTTTATTTTAAGTTTGCCCTGAATAAAACTTCGCTACTACAGAAATAAGTGGAATTCTTAGGTATGCATCAGCATCAGTGTTCCATCGAAGCTGAGTCACTGTGAGCTAGCTCACAGGTTTTTAGCCTCCGGCTCACACATTTTTGTCTTAGCTCAGGAAAGATGGCCCCAGAGCAAACTAATTTATGCACTAGCCAAATCACTTGCTCACAACTTTAATGCCAGTAACTCACAAAGTAGAATTTTTGCTCACAAGATTCCACAGCTTAGAGGCAGCATTGATCAGCACTATTTATTTTTCCAAAAGCCAGCTACAAATTATACTGCAAGTTACTGATTTTATATTGTTTGGTTCACAGTCTGTGGGATTTCACTTGATTTTTTTATACATATATATGAAAGAAACAAAATGTAAAATGTGTCTATAAAATTTTCTCTTTTATTTTATGGAAAGAAATATTTGACAATTTACTATGTTCCAAGTCATATGGAAAAACAACCTTTATGAAGGCACTGAACAAAAATAAAAATGAACAAATTATGTATTCCCTTAGTAGCACAGTAATGTTTCAACATTTAAGCAGAGAAAATGAAATAATTTTTAAAATCTAAAGCTGCATCCTTATTAGTAAGTTTCACTCTACCGATTATTTGTGTGCCCCCCAAAGAGCTCTAGCAGCATACCTACTGCGGCTCTCTCCATTTTATCCTCACAAGAACCCGCTGGAATAGATTAGAATCAGCAAGAGTGACTGACTCAAGGTCACTCAGTGAACATGGTTCAATAGGCATTTGAACCCTGGTCTCCCTGTCCTTCCCCACAATTGGGTACCCATAGTGTCCACTATCTCAAAATAGCTGCCGGGGTGGGGGTGGGGGGGTGGGACACACCAAATGCTGGAAGGTTGCAAGTCAAGCAGCCTTTGACTACTCTGGTTTCTCTTCAGATCGCACCTAAAGCCACTGCTATGGATTTAGGAGGGTATAATTCTGTTTAGGACTACGGAAGCAGCTGTTTATGAATGGGTGTTCCCTGCAGACACAAAAGTGCTACCTACTGGGCTCCAGTAAGATACACAAAAGCCAGGATGACTTATTGGTTTGGGGAAGACATGCTTTGTCATGGAAGCAAATGGTTGCCAGGAAACCCATGGCTGGGAAACATGATGCCCATGGATACCACACTGGGGATTACTGCTCTAAACTGCCACACCAGCTTTCAGTGGTACCTGGGTCTGAAAAAACATACCCAGGATCACAATGCGTGTTACATGCTACGATTACAATGACTTCTTTGACTATGTTTCAGCCAGTAAAGCACATGAAAATATGCTCATCCACGAAGCACATGCACCAGTGCTGAAAACTTCTATATGTGTGCTATAAATTGTTCAGAAAACTTGTCAGATATTTTTTAAGCCAACCTTTTTTGCTGCTACCAAGGGCTACCACTTTTGGTTGATTAATGGAAGTTTCTATCAATGGTGGCCTCATTTCTGCTATCTTCATTTCTTCATCAGAGGAGAGGTCTTCTGACTCCTGTCAAAGGACAAGGAAAAAATATGGTGTACATTTATAGACGCTAGCCAAAATGCAAACTATTATTATCCTAAGTGAACTTTAAGAATGTCTGAGCATTTTTGGGCACACACTGCAGCTTCCCCATTTTTTGTGACTTTAGCACTGTGTCTGCTTCAGAAAAGTACAGCTTTAATGGACAACTTCAGTCAGAAGGCTGGGCTTCAGAAAACAGCTATACACCAAGGATTTGCCCCCCTTCCCCCTTTCCTCTTTGCATCAACAGGATCAGCAGAAAAAAAGAGTAAGCAGTACCAATACCAACCTATACCCATGGTTTCTTTTGATGTAGCAGCTTGTAGTTCCATTCCATATTGTTGTAATACCTCAAAGGCATTTATATTTTTAGATTCTATAACAATACCAAATAGTATAATTTATGTGCTAAATTATATACAATGAATTCCCTGTCCTTAAAGTAGTGCAGTATCGGAAGACAGTACATTCTAATTCCCCTCAAATTAACCACCAGCTTCTTGCCCTCAAGACTTCTTTTCCAGAAATTTTCTGTCTAATAGTGACTGAAGCAGTGCATCAACAAGACCTTATTTTATGATCTAAGAATTTCAAAAATCCTTGAAATAGGATAACCCTTCTGTAGAACCCTTTTGTAGATGTCAGAAGGATGGGCTGAATTAATTTCTAAGCCCTTTTGCTATCTCCACTATCATCCTTCACTGACAGCCTCAATTTTAAATTAGTGAAACCTTCACCCAGGTAGGTAGAATCAGGCTTGAACCAGCTTCTTAAAAGTCCTTCAAGATGGTTACTATTTGATGTTCTCTGAATTACACTGTGAAGTTGCTGATGCAAGCTAGTTTCAATATTATGAATTACCGTATTTACTCAAAAGGAAAACTCTCCTACTTGTTGGGGCTTTCTAAAAAAAGGGGGAGGTCACCTTCAGCTCAGGTACACAGATCTGCTGAGTGTGGAGTGATGATGCACTGCATGCACACACACTAAAGCGCACCAATTCATTCACCAGCAGAGAAGAGGGGCAGTGAAAGGTCCTTGCTGCTGTGTCTCCAAATACTGCCTTTCAAACTGATTTGCATTTCAAATGGAGAGAGGAGGAGTCATGTGGATTCACTGGCTAGCTTTAGAAACTGCAGTCCCTTCCCTGGCAAACAGTAAGAAGCTGTAGTAACAGTGGGGTGGATTTGCTCCCCCTACTGACCTATGTTTCTGGCTCAGCATATTACTCCACACCAGCCTGTGCTTCTGCCCCTGTGCTTCAGGCCAGAGTTGTACTTGGCATTTCCCCACCCCCCAGGAGAGAAACTGAAAAAACTGACAGGTTTGTAACAGTTCAGCGTTAACTGTTATGAGACTGTAGGCATTTCAGACAGAGAAGGATAAGGTAAGTAAAATAAATAAATAAGTTGCTAATTTTAAACACCTGGATTGGAAACACTTTCAGTTGGAAAAGTGTGACTTTCCTCCCTATGGAAAGCACTGTGAAAGGGGGTGGGGGTGGAGGAGGGGATTAACTGTGCATTCCTAAGGAGTGTTACACCTAAAGCCATACTCTGGTTTCTCTTCAGATCGCACCTAAAGCCACTGCTATGGATTTAGGAGGGTATAATTCTGTTTAGGATTGCACTGCCAGTTGGTCAGTTTATCTGAGCCTTTGCCTACTAGTTTGACTCTTGGGAAGGGAGGAGTAAACACACCAGTCTCTTACCTTTGTAAACTTGAAACAGTGTAATCGAATACTGCTTGTGAACAGTTATTGTACAATGCAAAGAGGTACAAAAAGTGAAAGTATTTTTTTCCTCTGCAGTCTATACTAATTCTTGTATAGTGATTACTATGTAATAAATTGTTATACTGCTAACACTTTTTAGGAGAGACTGTTTTAAGTTCAGGTCACCTGCTTTTATATATAACCTCTTTTTTTAAGGGGGTCATCTTACATTCGGGGTCATCTTCCTTCGAGTAAATACAGTATACAATTATATTCTGGAGAAGCACTGGAACCAGCAACTTTATATTATTCTGATTTCTTTTTTGAGAGCATTTAACAATAAGTAGAACAAAGGCTCATTAAAATTATATTATTTTTGCCTGACTGAACAACATGTTAAACATAGTAGTCACATTCGTTGTTGCGGAAAGATGGTTAATTGTCCAATATCAGTAAATGACTGAAAGCTGATATTTTCTACGGGGTCTGTTGAGTTAAACAAACATTTATAAAAATCCAGAATTAAGAGAAACACCTACAGATCAGTCTTATTTGAGTAAATACCACATGAAACATGGCAGGTTCGGCCAGTATGGTCTGGGAAGTTATATCATGGGGCTGTGCAGCATCTCCTGTTCATAAGATCTGAGTTTACTATGATGAGGCAGAAGCTCAGCTGAGAGCCAGGTGGCGTTATTAAATATAACTGCATGCAGCCTGTCAACGGCTAATTAAACTTTGACTTTTTAGTAAGGCATTCAGAGCTCGTTGTACTCGGACAGTTTTAGTTCCCTGTTATTACTTTCCAGATGCTGTTTGTCAAGTGTACCTGAATGTTTAATGATTTTTAAAAGAAATTATTCTTAAAATGTATTTTACCATGCTATTTATATTGTTTCAAAATCACACTGGACGCCCCTGGCTACCACTTACAGTAGAACAGAGCTACTTAAATACATACCTCAGGCATGTCTTCGTGATTCGCGATCGGCACTGCATTTTCTGAGGTTTTAACTTGGGCATTCATCTGTGAGTTTCCAGAGCTATTCTCAGCCTCTAGTTCATTAGGCTTCTGCAAGCAATTTCCCATCATGATAGTCTGCTCATTTTCTGTTTTCTTCTTTGCTGTAGTGATTTCTGAAGTCTATGGTAGATTTAAAGACATTAACACTGTTAAAGAAAGCATACTGAAAGGAGGGAAAGCACATCAGATTGTTTATTAGAATAGGTGCAGCTTTAAGTAGCCATGGTGAAGGTCCTCCACATCAGTAAGTATACAGACAACAGGAAGCTACTCCCCTCCTAAAGCACTGGTGGTGACTCCAGAAAGACAACAGTATTTTGCCATTAGATCTTAATCTGTAGTATTCCATCCACTTCAGCTTTCCTCTGACTTGTAGGCCTAACTTTTCCAATCATATCTACCCCTCTGAGAACCTGGCACTTGAGACTCTGCTACTGACTGAAAATAGGTTAAAATGTGAGTGATCTTTCAAAAAAAGAACATACATCTATTGTAAACTGTGTTTAACAATCTGGTTCCATTTATTTGTGTATCCTTCCCCACCTCCAATAAGCCCAGAGCAGCATTTTAGCCTTATGCCACCACTGAACAAAGGGTTCAGTTGAGAGGCCTAACAAATTCGCGTAACAGCTAAGCAGGGATTTGAACCTCACTTCCCATTTCCAAATCCACTCCAACCATTACAGCACCGTGACCCAACACATTTCAATAAGCTGCATCCAAGGGTACTAAAAGAGCTTGCGGATATAATTTCTGAGCCTCTGTCCATTATTTTTGAGAATTTTTTGAGAACAGGTGAGATGCCAGAAGACTGGAGATGGGGAAATGTTGTACCCATCTTCAAGAAGGGGGAAAAGGAGGATCCGGGTAACTACCGACCCGAAAGCTTGACATCTATACCTGGGAAAGTTTTAGAACAAATCATCAGACAGTAAGTCCTTGAGCATTTAGAAAGGACAGCTGTGATTTCTAAGAGCCAGCATGGGTTTCTCAAGAACAAGTCATGTAAAAAAAAAAAAAACACTCATGAAAGGATATTGATTCTAACCTTTACACCCACATCCTTCACTAAAACTTGCTGATTTTCTTGCTTTGTGTCTTTATGAGCATCTTCTGCGTTTTCTTCATCTTTCAATCTGTGTACTATTGTCTGAACTGTTTTGACCATATTCTTCAGCTCATCAGGGTAAGGTGTTGGGTACCTCTTCAAATTGCCCTCCTAAATAAAAGAAACTCCATAAAGTTAAATACTGCTTACTAATTCTAAGCATCACTGTGACAGACACAGCTAGGGGGAACAAAGAAACATTCCATTACATTCCTAAATGGGCTCTTGACAGTGAAACCACTATACAGCAACAAAACTCTCTTTGTTATGTTTCTACCTCATCCTTTCTCTAATGAACCAGATGAGCTTACACTGGGGTCCCAGGTTATCTTTCCATTCAAGTACTAGCCAGGACAAGACCTGCTATGCATTAGTTATTTCACACCAGGAACCCATAAACCATTTTATGATTAAATAGCTTTGGGTCAAATACTGTGCATGCAAGTTTTCTAAGTTAAAGCTGTGATTCTCAAGAATGTCACAATGTGGATAAAGGTCCTTGTGGAAGCGGGTGGGGAAAAGGCACTTAGGCCAAAGATTACTGACAGTAAATGATCCTAACCAAAGCAGATGTTTCACTTGAAACGTATCAAGTAAACCATGATAGAATAAAGCAATTACACACCCTGGGTGGTGCCTCCCTTTCATCTTTGTCTTCATCACATTCAAAAGCCACCTGAGCTCGCTGTTTCCTTTGTTCTTCCCAAAGTGAAGGATTGAAACTTTCATTATCTGATATGAACATAACTAAACAAAAGAAAAGTTGATTACTGTACAAATAAAAGTACTTTACACAATGATTAATGTTTCTTATTAACTACTTTTCTTTTGAATATACGCATTATGAATGGAAACAGGGAAGTTGCCAGTTTAAACAACACGGAGATTGATGAACTGGAGGCTCAGGCTTTCACATGTAAAATCCATAAGGTAGCATGAAGGCAGTCATTTGTCAACTGGATCTATGCCCATTCTTCTTTGATAAGCCCAAGTTCCCTATTCTAATAGCAAAAAACAAAACGGGAAAGCTATGTCTCAAAATTAGCAGTTGTTTGGCTCCTGTTTAAATAATCAAGTCTAAGGATACATTTCTTTAGCCTATTTCTTCTCAACTTCTCTGGTTTGAAAAAGAACTGACTGAGTTGTTACTATATAGCTTTTTACACTCTTGGGCTTTCACCTACCCATCGTGCTGAAGCCATATTTGTGGTCTGGAAGCTGATTGGTGAAATTGCCAGTGTTATCACTCAGCATTCCCAAGTTACAAAATCATGGGCATTTAAAGGTGCCCTTAGTACCTGCCACAACACAACAGATCTTTCAGAAGTATTATGAACCACCATGTATGCGTAAGCATGCTGCTGCTGCTGAAGTACAAGAACAACCAAATAGGGTTTTCTTCCCCAAGTTAAAAAAAAAGCCCACAACCTGGAAGTTTTTAACTATGGAAATGTTAACTGCCAGATAAAGAATATAAATCTAAATCATATTTGCAAGATTCTCCACCTAGGGGAAAAATGACTCCTAATGTACATCTAGTTTAATAAGTATACGTACAGAAAATTATGATGGAGTCCAACTTTCATCAGCAGACTCTGCTAAGAGGTTAGGGGTCTGGCTTGACTCCTCTTTGTCCCTGGACAAGCAGGTTTCAGCAGTGGTGAGGATGGCATTTTTCTACTTGTGCCAACCCCACTGACTGTCTCCACATCTGTTCTATTCCAATCTAACCACAGTGATTCTTGCCTATGGTCACCTCCCACCAAGAGTACCGCAATGTGCTCTATGTAGGGCTGCCCTTGAAGGCGCTCCAGAAACTATAGGCAGTCCAGCGTGCAGCAGCAAGATTGCTGACAGGTTCTCCTTGGAGAGGTTATATCTATCCTTTCTTGAAATAGTTGCATGGGCTGCCAATTGAGTTCCAGATCAAATTCTGGATAAAATACTGGTAAAAACCTTTAAAGCTCTGAACAGTCTGGGATTTTCATACTTAGCAGACTGCCTCTTCTGATATGACCCCCCCCCCCCAAATTTATATTCTTCATGTTGCAACCTGCTTTTGATGCCTGGCCCCCAAGACATTTGGCTGGCATCCCGCAGGGCAAGGGTCTTCTTCGTGGTGGCCCCGTCCTGGTGGAACCAGCTGTCAGATGATACACAGGCCCAGAGGGACTTATCTAAGTTCCATAGGGTCTGCAAAACAGAGCTCTTCCACTTTGCTTTTAGTTAGTTGGGTTTGTTTATGTGGGCTGCTTTTTAGTCTATTTGTACTAAGTTTTAAACTGAGATTTGTTAATGTTTTAACTGTTGTTAGCCACCTTGAGACTGCCTGGCGGCGAGAGGCAGCATATAAAATAAATAAACATGACAAAATTTAACATTATATTTTGAGTCAATATGACACCATAACACTAGGTATATAAAGCTGTTGTTTCTCTGCTTACTCCAATAGTGGTCAAACATATCCAACAGTGTTTAGTTTTAATTTTAAAAAATGAGAGAGGGGGGATACAACTGACCCCACTGTCCTTGAGGAATGTATGAAATATCAATTATCATAGAATTTCTAAAAGTTAATTTTCTTAATGGTTAATTTTCTGGGGTACCATGCCCCCACTGGAAGAAAAACGCAGCAGGGCAAAGAGATCTCTAATTAGATTAAATAGATCCTCCCTTCTATCTGGCAGAATTTTTGATGACAAAGTTCTTACCATCTTCAGATCTTGGTTGTTGGGGGAACATGTAATTAGTAAGTACCGTTTTCTGTGTTTCTGGATCAGCTTCTTTTTGAAGAGGAATGAGCGGTTTAGACTGAGAATGCAAAACAGGTACGTTGTGTTAAGAATGTACATATTGGTCATACTCACAACATTACAAAGAAACAAGAACAAACCAGTAAAGGTTGATACTCAAGCATTTTCTCTCCCCTCCTTCTTCCCATTGTGCCAAGATCACCATTCCAAGCACACCAGAAAGCCTTCAGTCTCAGTAGCATACCAAAGAAGGGGGAGAGAGCACATGAGCACGAGGACTTATCATCTTGTTCATTTCATGAACAATCTGATATCTGAATACACCTAACACACAGTCAACACAATCTGATAGTCTTTCTGGCCTTAAAATATAAGACAGAAAAAATGTGTATTCTATAAATCTTCCTGAGCAACACTGAACAATGCACTTCTAGGGTAAATAATTAAACACAGTGGATATTTTTGAAATAAGAGAAGGGACCCTTCAATAGCTACCAAAGAAACAGACCATTATTCATTATTCTTATTCTTACTGAGATTCTTATCCAGACTTTACTAAAGCACGTAAAAATTAAAAAAGGCCAGCATAGCCAAAAATATAAACATAGGAGTGTACAAGCAGAACTGGAAAGAACAGCATGCACAGCCAGCATTTCAAGCAGTTTTTTCTTTAGCACTTTCTACTACTACACACATATGCCATGATTCAGAATCAGAAGTAGCTTGTCTTTTTAGAATGGGAACTGCTAGTACACACACATACACACACACACATACACACACACACAAATCACTGCCAATGCATGTGATTCCCTACCACACATTTATATTATTTCCTCTGGGTTCTGAATTTGGCAACTCGTATCACTGACCAAATGTAAAATAATAAAAAAGTTACTATTTAAGAACACTTGCTGCCTTTCTTACTAATGCTAGTGCTTGAAGAGAGAAAGAACAGTTTTTTTAACTACAGGTCAAACAAACAGGCCACATGTACCACTAAGACATCACAGATTCTAGACAGACATAAACTGCATAACAGTATCAAACAAATTTGAGGTGGCAGAAATAACTGCTCTTCTCTAAAAGAATGTTGTGGACATTTGGACTGCAACCTCTTTGCAGTGCATGAATAACAGTCCTTTCACCACATTTAAGAATTTCTATGCACAGCAGCCAGTAAAGAGTTGGATCCAAACATTTTCTGCAGACTGAAAGGTATTTTCCCCAGTACAGGGGGTGGCAATTTTCACTGACTTCCCCTTCCCACTACACACCCCCACACTGCACCCAGTGCTGTACCTGATCATTCCCTGACCCAAGCTGGCAGGTGGACCCCGGGGGGGGGGGAGATAATGACCTGCAGCGGGAGAGTGAGAAATGCCATTCTTCTTGCTAACTTCTGCTCACACCAAAAACTGTCCTTTGGCTCATAAGAAAGACAGCAGTATGTTTGTTTCAATTACTTCATGAGAAATGACTAATGTAGAAACAATAGTTACATTCAAGCTTAATTTTTTATAAGGTGATTGGTTCTAGTCTTATTGCTAATTTTTACAACAAGCTTAGTTTGGAGAAAGTACAATTCAGAAAATCCAATTGTATTTAAATAATGCCTACCTGATTGTCTGATAACCACATAGCAGTCAACTGTTGCAGCTTTGTAAAGCTATAAGGCAAATATTTCAATCTGTGAATAAAAAAAATAAATGCAAGAATGAGTGTCAAGACTAATGCCTTACTTAAGAACATGTCAAAGACATGATCACTACCTATTGGCAACATGAATAAAAGTTGATAGCATCCTTACATTAAAGAATCATTTTACTAAGATGCTGTGATGCACTTATTACATTTTTATTCCACTCCTTCTCTAAGGAGCTCAGTGATACACATAACTCCTGCCCTACCTAATTTTTTTTGCTTATAACACCCATACACAATAGGATAAGTTGAGGGTTGACTACCCCAAGATCACCCACTGAATGTTCATTATTCATTACATTTCATACATCCCGTAGAAAAATGCAAGTCACAAACCTATTATCACTTAGATTGATAACTTTTAATTTCTGCATATCACCCATTTCATCCGGGAGAAACTCCAGCTTATTTGAATGCAGAAACAGAACAGTTACATGTTTCCAGTTGCCAATCTGAAAAATAAAAAAGTGTGATTACTCAGCAATTGAAAGTATTAACTGCAGAACATTTTAATGCTCTGTTTTACTGCTCTGGATGGGTTTTTAACGGTTTGTTAATTTGAATTGTTTTTATGCTGTTTTTCTAGAGACCCACCTGAAGCACATCTCTGGAGAGGCAGCATATACATTTTCTAAATAAATATTTAATGGTACCTTCCGCTGACCAAGATTCACATTAGTCTGGATGTAAAAGGAAGGGAGCATGAAAGGCTGTGGTGTGGAGGGGAAGGGATACAGCGTACCCTTAAGCTGACCTTGCTGTATAGCTGGGGGGAAATGCTCTGCTCCACAGGAAGAGATTGGTGTCACAATGAGATTATGTACTTTGCTCACTAAAGGCTGCAGGCAAGATTTGCACTTGGCAGCAACCCTCCCAGGCTGTAATTGGCTTGCCTCTCTTAGGTAACTGGGAGCCCAGGGATCTGATATGGCAGAAAGTGAGAGCAGGGATCAAAGTGTGCACTGTCAGTGCTATCCTAAGCAGAGTTACGACCTTTCTAAGTCCATTGAAATCAATGGGCTTCAAAAGGTGCAAACCGACTTAGGATAGTACAGCAAATCTCTGCTGCTGCGCAAATGACTCAGCACCAACACCTCTCACAGGAATGCAGATGCAGGCAAACAGTGACCACACCCATCCATAGTGCTGCTGTGTTGCAGAGCACACATCTGATGTAGATCAGGGCCCCAAGTTTGCACTAGTGCAGATGCAACTCAAAGGGCAGAATGATTTAGAAAAGGCTAATTTAACGAATTTTAATCAAAGTCTTCTGTTATTTTGACCTTACCAAAGTATATACTAATTTGTCGCTATAATCATAGATATTTAAATTTCAATAGATTCTTTATACAGCCTCAGATGGTACACTACTGTTCCTCGAGTATTTAACTATGTTTTGTTATTTTTAGAAAATGATATACAACTCATTTCTTATTTTCATATCGTACTACTAATGAACCCAAAAAGAGTCTCTCTTACAGCCTGCAGTCATGGTTGGTTTTATAGATGGTTGCTGTTTAGAATTAACACTAGAAGGTTCTTTTGATGTTTATTTCCTCTGCTATGTAGCTGCTATGCCTTACCCTACCCTCACGAAAAAACTAAGTAATCTCAACGGGCAGCAAGTGCCAGTGGTTGTTAGTGGCCAGATTATGTAAATAGAGAAGTGTCTAAATTATTTGAATGGTAGAATTAAATACTTATTAGTGTAGTACTGAGCCCATTAGAGCCAACTGGAGAGGTCAGATAGTTACTAGGCATAAAATACTAATAAGATGTGGGCTGTTGTTGTTTTTTTACTAGAAATTTTATTATTTTCAAAAACCAAAAACCATAACATGAATACAAAATAAAAAAACAACTACACCAAAGGTAACAGTCATATATAAAACCTTAACAATATTAGCATTTTAAAAAGTGAACTAGTTGTAGGGAACTTACAAAGTTGGGTTAAATATAATAAAATTCTTAGAAACTACAGCTCATCGGTATTTACGTAACATATAACAAGGCATTAATAACTTCAGGAATAATTTAATGAATTAATAAAATACAAAATCCATGTATTTCTTAGGAATTGTATACATTTTTGCTTAGTTTGATTGATATATTAAAAAAAGAAAACCACTTTTTAACAGAATTATTTTTCATAGTAGGAGTTTCCGTTATAATCAGCTGTGTTGCTATTTTGTCTGATACTGCTGTATCATGTGGGCTGTCTTAACCTATCAACTCCTCAAATTTTCCTTAAAAAGCTTCTCATAATTATAGTCCGAGATTCAGTTTTAAAAGACAACATTGTTTGCTTTTTGTTCTCATGCCACAATCAAGGCTGTTCTGAAAGAAAAATTAAATGTGAAGTTTAGCACACATTTTTTTAATCTAGTTTTAATCCCTTCTGTGAACAAACCTGACTTATTGATATGACTGAATCTACCAAAACACTTGGCCCTTCTGTCACTAGAACACACTATGCCTACTGGTGACTGTTTCAACAGCTGCTTCAATCATGACTGTTCCCAAAACCAAAGAAAACATTTTAAAATGTTTTAAGCTATTAAAACTGTACTTTAACAAGCATTTTAAAAGACTGTTAAGACAGCGCTCTGGAAGTGAAAGAAAATCAAGTAATCTGTGCAGTCCCTACCTAATACAGTACAAGAGAAATGCTGCAATGCATGCTTTCTTTTGATGTACCTTCTCTAGTAGTTCACCTACGAAAGTGCTTAAATAATGAAACAGCAGCAGATCTTTAGACTATTGACAGTGCAATCCAATTCCAGCCCTCTAAGTCCATTAACTTTGATGGACTAAAAAGGGTGTAACTTTGCTGAGGACTGCACTGTGAATCTTTAAAAAGCAAGAAGTACACAAGATATTTCATTATCCATTTTTAATAGGGGGCTGCTAACACTAGGGAGTGGTAGTTACAAGCTTTGACAGACTCACTGTATCTAGAAATTTTATTTTACTGGATGGAAGATTGCTGTCACTGCAAGGGCTATGTCCCAGGGTCATAAAACTTGCTTGTTGACTGTGTTTCTATATAAAATGTCACAGTGAGGAAACCGCTAATCTCTTAGCTACCTATAGTCACTCTTTCACATGTTCTTCTGCATAGATCTTAACTATTATTCGTATTAATACTAAACCGAACCCAAGTCACCTGATAGCTACAAGATTACAATTCTGTATCTGTATCTATATTTTACAGCAATGGGATAATACATGTAACATATACAGAGTAGAGGCATTAATGTGGAAGTACAGCACACTCACTGCATTCAGTAAAGATATCCCCTAATTCCTCAAACTCTAAAAATAATCAAGAAGTAGGGCTGCCAAGTGGGGGCGGGTGGCGGGTAAACCCCCGCTTCGGAGGCCCGATTCCCCCCGCCACGGAATCAGGCCCCGGGGGAACTCCGCCCCCCGAATCGCAACGTATCAAGAAGCCAAGGAGGGAAAAACTTTAGTGAATAAGGCAGTGAACGGACAGATCACTATTCTTGAAATGTTTACTGAGACCTAAAAAACCAAGTGGCACACGTGAAGCAGGGGGAGATGAGCATGACGGATAGCTTAAGCTAGTGTTTCACATGCCCACGTGCACAGCTGTCATTTCAGTTATGAGGTCAGGCTTATCCCATAGCTGGGGGGACATGTTAAGAGCTCTCCTTTTCTATTATAACTGCCTTCACAAAAAGGTACATTCC